CCCGCGGAAGACGCGCTCCTTGAAATGTGCCTCCTGCCCATCCTGGGAACCAAGGATGACCCCCAAGGGGCCGGAGGTGGCAAGGAGTGGGGACGAGGGCCTGGCCGGGGGTCCCCCGCCCTCCCATAGGAGTAGGGGCCCCGGATGGCCTCTAATCCTGCTCAGCAATCCTGAGCTAAGGGCACCGAGTTTGACTTAAGGTAAATACATTCTGATCGGGAAAAGCTGCCTTTTCTGGGCTCCACGTGGAAAATTCAAGCCGTACCTTTTAGGGAGGAAGTAAACGAAATACGAAATGTCTGAATATTCATGACCTCCGTGCCCCTGGCGTTGTAACTGCGCGAGAGAAGGAGAGAGCCCAGAACAGCACCGTCCGTTTCTTAAAATGTACCTGTTTGGGGCACAGAGAGATCATTTTGTAGAATCGGAAAATGGGAATGTCCCCGTCCTCTGGCGTCTTTAGTCTTCCCCTGAGGTCTGTCTGCACCTGGCATGCCCCAGAAGGGGCCGGGTGGCACGTGGCACTGTAGTTACCGGGGTCATTTGTGTCCAGAGCTTCTCCTACTAGGTGCCTGGGGGACTCGGGTTGGGCTGGAGCGAGCGTCTGGACCTCCGATAGGCACTGTGCCTTGCAGATCGGGGTCCACGGTGAGTACAACAGATAAGGTTAGTGGCCCCTTTCTTTCCTGCAGTTGGGAAAAGACTTGGAAACAGGAGAAATGCCCCTCACCAACACCAGCACTGATCACCACCCCTGCGCCCGGCCCCCAGGACGCAGACGGAGGGCGAGGCCGGTTTGCTCGGTTTCCGGCCGCTCCTGAGCGGCCTGTGGGACTTTTCCAGACCCGCCCAGGGCCGGGGGAGGCCGGTGGGGAGCCTGCCAGGCAGGCCCGAAGCTGTGGAGCTGGAGCGAACTCGGGGTGGGCGCTGAGGAATCCTCAGCTCCTAGTGCCAAAGCCTGACCTCGAGCTGGCCTTGGTCTCGCCCGGGTGGGAGCAGGCGGATTTCAGGGAGGCCTGGTCCGGTATGAGCGGACCCTTCCCCTGCGCAGCGAGCGGGGGGAGGGGGGAGCCCCCACTCTTGGGCGGCGGCCCTGGTGTCCTGGGGCGAAACCCCGTGCGTGCGTGCAGGTGGGCCAAGAACCGCTCCGCGCGTGGCCACGGTCTTCTCGCTCGCGCGTGGGAGGCTGGCGCGGACGGGACAGCGCTGGGGGACTCGGGCCCACAGACACCACGGGCGATGGTGCAGGACCCTTGTTTTAGTGACCCTCCCACCTCCTCCCCGTTGGCCGGGACCCCTCCTCCGGAGTACAAGGTCTCTTGGCATTTTTATTTACTTTTATTGCGCTTTGGTTCCTCGTGCTGTCTCAGCTAGAACACGCTGCAAACAGCGCGCGTATAGGACCGGGTCAGGCATTCCCGAACCGGGCAGCCCGCGTCCGCTGGGGTTTCTGGGCCTCAGGAGGCGCGCGCGCGCGGGGACGTCCGGACGCGAATCCAGGCCCCGCGGAGCTCCGAGCGCGCGGTGTGCGCAGCATTTGGTGAACTCAAACTTTGGAAGTTCTCTTTCCTTCCAGAAACCGGATCCCCCAGGTCTGCTCCCTCCCGCCCCCTCACGATTTCTTTTTTGTTGTTGTCGTCTCGCCGGTGTTTTCCAGGAAAGAGATGGGCTTTCTTTCATGTGCGTCCACAAACTTCCCTGAAACGCGTTTCCTTTCTAACAGTTGGAAGCAAAAAAAAAAAAAAAAAAAAAAAAAAAAAAAAAATGCATCGGAGGCTTGACACCATCCACGTTCTCACAAGACCGGACTCTAAAAGCGTGTTGTCTGCTCTGTTCACGGCTCCTTCTTTCCGGGGGGCGCGCATCTAGAAGCTCGGACAAGCTCCGCGTAGGCGGAGTCCCCTCCAGACCCGGAGGGTCCGCACCCTCCCATGTGTCCTGCGCCGCCGCAGCGCAAACGTAAACGTAATAGTTCACCAAGTGAGCCCACCCTGTGGCCTCGGCCACGGCTCAGAATGACCAGAAAACTGTGGTGGGGACCCTCACTGTCTGGGCTGAAGTATGAGGACAAACTCCAAGCTGTGGGGTTTCGGTGTCTGTCTCCAAAGAGGCAACAGGTCAAGGAGTCTCGTGCACCCCTGGCTGGGGAGGGGTGGGGTTTCAGGGCACTGAGCCCCGCCGTCAGGGAGGACGGTTGCCCCTTGGTTCCTCACCAGCAGAAAGTGGGAGTTTGTAAAAACGGTGACACCCTTTGCAGGTCAGGAGCTCTCGGAAAGGCAAGGCCTTCTAGGTGGACCAGAGAAGCTGGCTGAGGAGTCTAATTCTCTTCTGAAGGGTTATTTTGGAAGCAATGGGTAGCAGGGGAAGGGGCATCGGAGGTGGGGCTGCAGAGGTGTCTGGGGAGCGGGGAGGGTTAGCCTCCAGTGTCCCCATCCAGTGCCTGCTGTGCAAATTCCCAGAGGCTGCCCGAGGCTGGTTGGGGCAGAGATCCTGGTCAGGTAGGGGTGGTGCCTTAGGAGGTACAAAGTGGGGGACAGCCCTGCAGGGGGGCCTGGACTGAAGGTTTGGGCTTCAAACCCCTCTTCCCCGCAGAAGCTCAGGCCTTGCAAGGCCCAGGCCCTCGGGGACGCTAAGGCTGTTGAGAAGGGTCTGGGACCCTTCTGGGGAGGGGTGGTCAGAGTTTCCAGCGCCAGATCCCTGGGGGGCTGCCCCCCTCCCGGGGCTGGTGGTGAGGGGCGCTCTGACGTGGGAAGATGAGCAGAGGAAAAGGTCCCTGTCCCGGAGGACTGGAGAAAGTTGCTGTGTCCAGGGTGTCCTCCCCCGACCTGCTTCACTCTGTTTCTCTCTGCTCTGCTCGCCTCGGCTCTCACTGCGCTGTCTACCTGGAACGGAGCTCCGCTGGGGGGTGGGCATTTGGAGACCCGTGGGGCAGAAGCTCCTCCCCTCACGGTTTCGGGGGCGGCGGGTGGGGGCTCCGCCGGGCGAGGACTGTCAAGTGCGGGGCCGCCCCGAGCCCTCACCCCGCGCGCCCTGCGCACCGCTCGGGGCGCGAGCCCTCGGCGTTTCCCCCGCCGCCCCGCGGCATGCATAATGCATGAGGGGCTCTTGGTAATTCCGTGTGATATCCGCGCGCCTCCGCTTTGATTAGAGGGCCGCGGTGACAAAGACCTGTTTGTTAAGTTGGGAGGGCTTCCTCGCCTTTCGCCTTTGAAGTCCGGAGGAGGCGGCGGCCTCGGAAACCCCCCAGCCCGACCCCGCACCTCGCGGGGCAGAGCAGCCCGGGCCGGCGCGGAGAGGCAGCCGCGCAGAGCTCCCCGGCGAAGGACGGAGGGCGAGGCGACGGGAGGAGAAGTGGGGGGAAGGAGGGAGAGGGAAGGAAGGAGAGAAGGAGGGGAGGGACAGGAGAGAGCGAAAGGGGGGAGGAGGGAAGGAAGGAGGGAGGGAGGGTAGGAAGGAAGGAAAAGGGAGGGAGGAAGGGCGGCGGGGAAGGAGCCGGTCTGCTCCTCCTCCTCTTCCCGTGTGGCGGGGAGGACGCCCCCTGCCCCTCCCCAGACCGAGGCCCCTCCGACCGATCCCCGAGTGACTGGACGCAGGCCCCACGATTTCCGGAGAAACCGTTCCCGTCCCCTCCCGCCGGCGGAGACCGGTGCGGGGCTCCCGCGGCGCCGCGCTGCACGGAACGCGGGGTCCCGCCCAGGGTGGCCCCGGTCCCGGGCCCTGATTCACAAACGGTCCGAGCAGGCAGTGCCTCCGGAGCGCGCAAACGAGGCCCTCCAGACCCCGCCAGCTCCCCCTTCGCCCGCAGCGCCGCCCCGAGCCGGGTCCCGACTCCCGCGGGGGTGGGGGAGGGGGAGACCGGGCGATGTGACAGATAAAAGAGGGGGAAGGGGGGAAAAGTCAACTTTATTTGCAGACAGGATGACAGGCTTGACTTCCGGTGTTACCAACTGACTTCGTGGTGCCGTTGAGAAAGTCGGTCCTCCTCAGCCTTGGAAAGGGGGCGAGGGAAAGCGTGGCACAACCAGAAATACCTCGGTTTCCCCCCAAATAAATATCCTCGGCACCGGGTTCCCGGCAGGGCTGGAGAGGAAGCTGCCTCGGTCCCGCCGCGCGGACGCTAACGCGTGCCCGAAGGACCGCCGCTTACAAACCAGGTCTCCCCGCCAGCCGCGGCTGTCTCCGAGTCCGGACCCCGCGCGCTCCGGGCGCACGCGGCCTCCCAGTCCCCGGCCTCCGCGGCGCCGACTCCTCTGAGGTTTGCGAGCCGCTTTTCGCCGTCCCCGCCGCCGAGGTTCCGGCGTCCACGCTCGGATAGACGCGAGCCCCGTTCCTCCCCCTTTCGGGGTCCTCGAGCCGTTTACCGGTGCCACCGTGCGCACCGGCCGCCAACCGGTCGCTCCGCGGGCCGCGCCGGCGGGTCCCGCCCGTCATCCAACCTCATCTCCGAGTCGCAGCCGATTCTCGTCTGTGGATCGCGCGTCCCCGGCGCCCGGGGTCCCCTCGGCGTCTCTCCGTAGTGCCGCGCGCGCGGACGCGTCCTGCGAGGACAGGTTCCCCGGCTCGGGCCTGCTGGGCTCCAGGCAGTGCCGACCGGCGAGGACCTCCTCACCATCGATAAGCTCCTCGAGTTCGGTTTCCTCCAGGCACTGAGGGAATGCGGGTACCTGTGTGGGGCTCCGCCGCCCGCGCCCGCTCGCGCGCGCGCGCGCTCTCCCCCTCTGCCTTCCAAAAATTGGATCTTTACCTCTCCACACCAAGGTGCACAGACGCCAAACAGTGATGAAATGAAAAGAAAGCCAATTGCCGGACTGGAGGTGGGGGAGAGATAGCGTCTCTGCGTGCGCCCGCCGCCGAGCCGGGAGCCGTAATTGCTGAAGACAGGGAGCGCGGGGGGTTGGGCGGACGCGGCCTTGTATAAATAGTGAGATCTCAAATTGAAAGGCATAAATAACAGCGGGAGGCATCTACCCTCGCACGGACCGTCCTCTCCGCGCGGGGAGGCGTTCGGACCTCAGCCCCGCTCCCAGCCAGCACCGCCGAGCCCCGCGGACCCCGCAGCCCCGCGCAGCCATGGAGGAACTCACGGCTTTTGTATCCAAATCTTTTGACCAGAAAAGCAAGGAGAGCAGCGGCGGCGGTGGCGGCGGCTGCAAGAAGGATTCGATCACGTACAGGGAAGTTTTGGAGAGCGGACTGGCGCGCTCCCGGGAGCTGGGGAGCTCGGAATCCAGCCTCCAGGACATTACGGAGGGCAGTGGCCACTGTTCGGTGCATCTGTTTAAGGACCACGTGGACAACGACAAGGACAAGCTGAAAGAGTTCGGCGCGGGGAGGGCTGCGGAAGGTAAGCTCGCCGGACGCCGCTCCGGGGCCCTCCCGGGACGGCGTCTCCTCGCCACCGAACCCGCCCGCCTGCCCCTCGCTCCGCGCGCGGGGAGGCCCCGGGCGCCGCGGCTCGCTCAGAATTCCGCCCCAAACTCTGAATTCACAGCCACGCTCGGACGGAAAGGCCCCGGCAACCCGCCGCCAGTCTTTGCGTAAGAAAGAAAGGAAAATGCGGACACAGGACGGGAGGCGAGGGAAGCCGAGGATGGGCAGGGGCTGGGGACAAGTGCTGCTGAGGACCGGCTTCTCCCCGCCGTTGGCGCCGGGCGTCGCAGCGGGAACTTCCCCGGGTTGGGGTCCATCGGGCGGGTGAGCCTGAAAGCAGCGGTCTGCTGTAGGGGCCGCTGGGTGCGTGCCTGTCGGCCGGCCAGTCTTCCTCGAGGCTGCTCCCCAGCGCGCACGAGGAGAGATCCACGCGCATCTCTCCCAGCGCCCACCGCCTCCTGGCATCCCGAGCATTTCAAAGAGGCAGGCGTTAAGGACGCGCGGGCCGGTGGTCCCAGGGCGAACGCGCGCAGTCGCCTCTCCCGCCTGGTGAACCCTCTCCGCGCAGTTTCCTCTTAGGGAAAACTTTCCCCTTGAACCTCGAGGCTTGATCTGAGCTGACGCGGACCTCTAAATTAAAACCACTCCCGCGCCCGCAGGTGGCCAGGGTATGGACGCCAAGTGAAGGCCCTGGGCAGTTGGGGGGGTGCGCGGGCGCTGCCGGACCCCAGGCTGTCAGAGCGCAGCCGGCTCTGGTGCGGACGGACCGCAAGTCCTGGGCCTCCTTTCTTTCTGCTTCTCCGGATAACGTCGCCTTGGTTCGCCCTGTTGCTGAGTCGGGGGATAGGGAAGGTTTACAGGGGCTCTCCGAGCTGGGTAGGGGTACTCCCAACCCCGGGGTTTCAGAGCAAACAGGGCAACCAGCAGCGGCCAATCAGAGGCATAAAATGGGCTGGATTTCTTGGGGGTGGGGGGCCCAGTTTGAATCTGGTGGAATGTCTCTTTTTCATTACAAAGAGGAAATACAGAGCCCGGCCAGTCGCCTCCGCAGGCCCTGCTCCACACGTTGTCAGTGTGCTGATCCTGCTACAAGTAGACCAGCCGGGGACAGACAGCTCCCCTGACCCAGGAAGCCCATGCCTCCTGCTCTTGGGGACCCTATACTTGGGGTCTCCGAGGGGCAGAGTCCTAGGCCATGGCCTTGAAACCGTGCCGATGACCCAGATGTCTTTACGAGGCCTTGACCTGTGGAAGCAGCACGCCGGCAGAGTCTTACAGATCAGCCCCTGACCGCTGGCCACCCAGGTGGCCTGGGCCTGAGCTGCCTTACCTCAGGGTTCCCCCACCCCCGGGCACTGCCGGTCACCCCTCGCTCTATCATTCACAGAGTTTGCTTTAATCAAGACACAGCTGTTGCCTGGGCGAAACTCCGGGCCTACACTGGACTTGAGAGGCTGATAGCACCCGGGGCTGATCTCCGTGGCTCCTGCCCAGTTCCCCCTCATCCTTCCTAGAGGTCGGGAGCCTCCTCATCTCCCCGGCCTCCTTTCACCCTGATTGCCGAGGCAGCGGACCCCAGAAAAGGGGGCCTCGGAAAGAGAGTGAGTACAGTCAGGGCCTTTCAAGAAGGAGGAAGCAGAAGGGGGTTTCTTTCCTCCCAGCTGTACCATTCCCCCTGGGCTGGGTGCACAGACCCCTGGCAGGGCTCACCCCAGGTGCATTTGTAAAACAGGAGTGAGATGAAAGTCTGGGAGATCTTGGGGTTCCAGAAAAAACCTGGAGGTCTTGGGCTCCTGCACCGTGGGTCCCACCTTCCCGAGCACGGGAATCTGTGTCGCCGGTTCTTAAGGAGTTTGAAGGCCAGCCTGTCAGCTGGGATCAGTCCCTGGGATCAGACTTCAGAGGCAGGGAGCAAGGAAGAGTTAGGGCTGCCTCTAGGACAGGATTCGCGACTGGGAAAGAAACGGGGTGTTTCTGGCAACGCGATGCTTTCAGGAGGTGGAAGGGGATTTAAACATCCAGGTTGGGGTCAAGAGCCTAGCAGTCAGGAGTCTTGCTGGAGAGGCAGACTCAGGACGGGGCTTCTGCTGTCCAGCTCCGGGATTCTGGTTGGGGAAGGAGGGTAGCAGGATTGCCCGTCTTGCCACAGCCGCTTTCGGTCTTTCCCTCTTGGTAAGTTTCTGGGCAGGGAAATGAAGAGGCTTTCTCTGCTTCAGAAGCGGGGGCTGTGCGGCCAGATTCTGCCAAAGGCCAGGCTCTTCTTGACACCCGGGACGTCTTTTTAGGGCACGGAGATGCTCTCTGCTAGTGTCCAGCAAGTTCCGCTGGAGAGAAAGCCGCCAGAGACACAGGCGGCCCAGCACCCGCCTGCCAGCCATAGGTTGGGAGGACTGCCTTTTATTTTTAAATTTCTGAACTTGGGGAGGCCCTGCGTTTCCTAGAAGAGGGAAGGAGAGGCCTCTGAGTTGAAATCGAAATGCTGACCTTCTTACCGGATGCTCGAGCCCCCAGTCGCCTCCCCCCAGCAAGTACAGATGCTAACATCGTTTTTTTGGACTGAGAAAGTACCACTGTTGGGGTCCTGGTGGGGTGTGTGTGTCATGGCGTGTGCATATATGTGAAGCAGAGGAGAGTGAGAGAGGGCCAGCTGGAGGACCCTGCTCTCCCACGCACCCCCAGACCCCACACTGTGCATAGGGTAGGAGTTTTGGTCTCTTGCTCTGAAAAAGAGACCAGGGTACGGGCCTCGCGCGCGCGCGCTGAGCTCCACAGCCTCGGGGAGGGAGGCTCCGACCCGCCTGGCACGGCCGGTGTCCTGCGGCCCAGCAACCCAGGGGCAGCAGGGTTTCCGGGCCTGCACTTCAGGCTGGCCGGGGCCTGCCTCGCACCCTTCGCGGGACCCACACTCGGGCCAATCTGCCCTAACTTGTTTGACTTAAAATAATAGTTAACACCCCAGTCCCGAGAGCAGAGGGAGAGAGAGAGAGGAGGTCAGGCTATGTCAGCGTGTCAAGAGGCAAAGTGGCAAAATTAAAGAAACCGTGGCGAGATGAGGGCCGGAAACCCCGCGCCGCCCATGCCCGAGTTGTAAGCAAAGAGCGTACGTTCCCCTCGTTCCCCTCCAGTCCGCTTTATCGACCTGACGCTGCCCCGAGGTCGGGGCGCCTTAGTGGCTGGGGCCCCGTCCTCCGCTCGCACACACTTGGATTTCAGCCGCGTGGCGCAAAAGCCCGCGCCGCCGGCCTCCTCCTCCCGCGCGCGGCCCGCGGGGACCGGCAGGGCGCGCGGGGGAGCCGTGCGCGCTCAGCCCCGTGCGCTCGGCCCGCCCGCAGGTATGTACGAGTGCAAGGAGAAGCGCGAGGACGTGAAGTCCGAGGACGAGGACGGCCAGACGAAGCTGAAGCAGCGGCGCAGCCGCACCAACTTCACGCTGGAGCAGCTCAACGAGCTGGAGCGGCTCTTCGACGAGACCCACTACCCCGACGCCTTCATGCGCGAGGAGCTCAGCCAGCGCCTGGGGCTCTCGGAGGCGCGTGTGCAGGTAGGAGCGCGCGGCCCGGCCCCGCCACCCGGGCCTCGCCGGGCCCCGGGGCGCGCCGACTCTGCCCGGGCTGCAGGCCTTTCCCCGGCGGCCCTTTCCGGCGGATCGCACGGTTCCTGCGAAGGGCGAGGCCCCTGCACGTCGAGGTGGTGGTCGGACATCGGGCTGTCTCTTCACCTCTCTCCACTGTTCCTGTTCCCCTCCTCCTCCCTTACGAGGCCCGAGGCCCCCTCCCTCCCGCTCCAGGGAGGGGAGGCGAGGGGCGAGGTGGGGGGAGTCGCGCGCACGGGGCATGTTGATGAGCTCGGCGGCTGCCCGCGCGGGGCCGGATTAGCCCGGGCGTGGGGGGCGCGGGGCGGGGACCGCGGGCGCTTGAATTCATGATGTCCCATCTGCCGAGCCGCTGTCTGCGGGGGCCCTGGGCGTGCCCAGCACGTGCGCGGAGGGGACGGAGGGGACGCTCTGGCCAGCCCTTCCCGGGCATTAGCAACGTTAAGTTAAATTGATTAATGCATTTATGGGGGAGGGTGGCCGAGACTCGCCTCCAACTCGCTTCCTCCGCGGGTAACGCAGACCCCACCTGGGAGGTCGGGCCTGGAGCTCCCTGGCCGTCCTTCTTCAAGGCTCTGAGCAGGACAGCAGCGCCAGGGAGAGCCAGGGAAAGCGGGTCAGCCTCTCAGGGCTCTGGGGACCGGTTTTAAATAAACGGAATTAATATGGCCAAGCGGGGAGGGGTCTGCATGAACAGCACAGCGCCCTGAAAGCCCCAGTTTCCCGTTTCTTACAAGACCAACACAGTCCAACACTACGTACCCCCGCGCTGACTTGCAAAATGAAAACACAAACGTGTTTTGCAGATACTGTGTTACGGAATCTTTAATTTGAAAAAAAAAATTTTTTTTGATCTGAGCCCCCCTTGCAGCTTCCCATGTGGCTGTCGTCAATAATAGGTTTTCTTAAGTTGAAATGCAATATCCCGCAGCCATTTCCAGCTCTGGTCCCCAGAGCCGGCAGGCACAGAGCCTCCCTACAAGACGGGACCCATGTGCGGGCGCAGAGTAGGTCTGGACTGCCTCGTCCCCGAGGGTCCAGGCCGCTGGGACCTCTGTGGCCACCCCCGGCAAAGAGAGGCGGCCCTCGCTGCCGCTCAGGGTGTCTTTTCCCACCAGCCACCCTTCTCGGGGAAGATAGATGACGCTGCCCCGTATAAATTAATGAAAAGATTAAACTTTCGCTGAAGGGGACATCAACTTTTATGTCATCTTCCCGGTGTCTCTCGGCCTGGGTTCTGTAATATCTCCCAGGCCTTGATGTACTGTTTCTATAAAAATAAATTACTTCTAATTTAATTGTCCACTATTTCTTTCAGTAGTCTATTACCGAACAACACCTTAGCACGAGGGACGGAGTGGCAGGAAATTGGTTCTTGGGTGCTTTGCGGACCTTGAGAAAGCCCTAAAACATCAGGGGGGGTGAGGGGAGGGGGGGCGACATGCGTGGCGACCGTGCAGAGGTGCATTAAAATTTAACGACTGTAAATAATCATAAACACAAACATAGGGATGGAACAGAAGGAATCATTTTCTGGTGGCCACCGGGAAAAGCGTCGCAGGATGAAGGGGAGGCAGACGGGCTCATAAAAATCAATTAGTGAAAACGAATGGGTCATCCCGCAGACGGCCCAGAGGTCTGGGGGGGCGGTAGCGGCGAGCGCAGGGGGCCGAGATGGGACTCGGGCTTGATTCCCGTCTCCAAAGTGTTTGGTAATCCTTTTCGGTACAGCCTGTCCCGGGTTGTTAAAGGATAGAGTTTCAATTTAGTGTGGAAATTTGCTGTAAATAAATTGGGGATCCTATGGAAGCTGGTCCTTATTAACCTTTTATTTTTAGTGTCGCTGTGGCACCTCGTATCCCACAGCTGTCAGGGTTATAATGGAAAGTTATGAGACCACAGTGAGGGGCAGGAGGTAATTTAATTACAACAAATATCTTCGGGTTTATGGCGCAGAGCTAAATTAAATGTCATTATTCACTGTCTGTAATGGAAATCAAAAAGAAATCAGATTACACCATTTGTGAAAGAAATCAGTGACTAGCCCTTAATGAAGATATAAGCCCTAAACCAGTGTACTGTACTTTACTTAGCATATTCAGGACTAATTGGAATTGATCGTGAATCACCCCAAGACTGATTTATTATCGCTTCGCGCGCGGGCTAATGCATCACTTTTCTTCATAATCGCACCCTCCTCCCCCCCAGAGCCCCCCACCCCTCACTACCCGCGCGGGGAGGAAAGCCAGCTTCGCTTTCCGGATTTACAGACGATTCTGTTTTTGAAAAGTGCCCGCACAGGGGGCAGAACTTGCCCCGGCCTCGGTCTCCTGAATGCCCCAGGAGAGGGAGGGGTCGCGGCCGGGTCCCAAGGGGTCCAGTGCGGTCAGGGGTGCTCCTGGGGGGGAGAGTCTGATGCAGAGGCTCCTTGTGGGGGTGGGGAGAGGAGGAATGTCAGCGCAGGCTTTGCAGATGCGAGGAAAGGTTTGTGGACCTTGGGGTGCGGAGCGAGGGTGACAGTGTGGGGATAACTTTTCATGGGAACGTGCTGAAAGTTTTCCGAGCTCCCTGTAGCCTGTCGGCATGAACTTCTGGAAAGCCAGTTCTCAAGGGTGGGTGGGCGATAGCCCAGCCCTGGATAAAAACCCTCCTCTTAAGGGTCTGGAGAGGCAAAGTTAAGGTTTCTAATCTGCCGGGTGTACAGAGGATCCTGCCCTCGGGCAGTTGGGGTCGGGAAGCAGCCACACTCTCTGCTTGCAGCCGTGGGAGCTCAGGGCACCCGGGGCCAAGCTATCCGACAGAGTGGCCCGAGGGAAGGGTTTCTTGGTGCTAATTATCCTGCGTGGTCACTGACCGCCATCACGGCCATGAGGGTCAGTGAGAGCGGCGAGAAAGCTTCCGGAGGAGAAAGTCTTAGGAAAAACTCAGTGGCTGAGAATATGGAGGGAGGGGCCTCCGGATTTCATCAGGCACAGCCCAGGGACCCTGTGCTCAAGGACCTGAGCTGTCTGGAGGAGAGGGGGAGCTCTTGAGCGCTGGAGCGAGGAGGATGCTTTTTGGGGGGACCCTGTGTGCCCAAATTTTGACAGCACACCTGTGTGTCTAGCTGCCCCGAGGAGGATCCCACTAATATCCTTTCTCCAAGAGTTAGGTGTTTTGTGTGTGTGTGTGTGTATGTGTGTGTGTGTTTTTTAGAGAGGCTGGTGCCGGAAATTATGGGTGTGCCCCCATTTTATGGATCCAGCACCTTCATGACTCCTTAATATTAAACTGGACCTTCCTGGCTTCCAAGGAGAACATGGAAGTTTCTGGACTCAGGGTGTCTCCAGTTTTGGGGAGGGGCCGCCTTTGAAGCTACTTGTCAGGCCGTGCCTAAGGTGGCTAAGGTCTGCCAGGGAGAAGGTCAGGCTCTCCCAGGGGCTGGCAGAGTGGTGGAGGGAATGCCCACCCCATCATGGAAAGTTCTCGAGTCCGCCGGCTGTGGCAGCACGCAGGCCTTACTGCATGTGGATGTTGAGGCTCCTGGTCTTGGGGACCAGGCAGGGCTCAGAAGGGAGTTTGGGAACGCTCAGCTGTAGGTCTACGGGTCCGGAGAGGGCCGGGTTGGGAGAGGAGAGGGCGCGGCTCTATTGCGCCTTGAGCGGCACCGGGCCTCTGCGCCCAGTCTGCGTGGGACCTGCGTGCAGCCCCCCGCGCCTCGTCTACCGCGGTGCCGGCGAGAAGCCTCAGCTTCAGAGGCCGTTTGGCTCACGGGGCTGCGTGCGCGTGTCTGCTCTGTCCCCAGGTCTGGTTCCAGAACCGAAGAGCCAAGTGCCGCAAACAGGAGAACCAGATGCATAAAGGTGGGTGGTGCCCAGGCTGGCGGTGGACGTGGGGAGCGCGTGCAGAGGCCTCCTGGGCGCGCACAAGACCCCGGTGGTCTTCATGGCTCCATTCTTCCCTTGCAGGCGTTATCCTGGGCACCGCCAGCCACCTGGACGCCTGCAGGGTGGCGCCCTACGTCAACATGGGCGCCCTGCGAATGCCTTTCCAACAGGTAGCCCGTTTTTCTTCCTTCTGAGCCGCGCGCGGGGCCCTGCCACCTCCCCGCCTCCCTGGCGTCCTGCCTCCCCCGGCTGCTCCCGCCCCCGCGGAAGAAAGGCTGCCGCCTTTACAAGGCGGCATTTATAGACCCGTTGGCACGTATTAAAATCACGCTGTAAAACTCCAAGGCTCACCTTTGGAGGGCCAGGGTAGAAACCCAAACACGATTTTACAAAAATGGAGTGAAAATAATAATAATAAAAAAAAAAAAATCCCACCCACCCAGGCTTCCTGCTTGGGGGTGGAGGGGCGGGGTTGCTCGCACTTGGGTGTGAGGTCCTGTGTGTGTACCAAACCCCAACTTGCCTCCCCCATGGCCTCGAGGGGGGCTGTCTGGGCCCAGGCTGTAGCCGAGCCTGGCTCCCCACCTCCCAGCTGGGCTCCTGGGGCTCAGGGTCTGGGGATCCCCGCGGGCAAGAGCTGTTCTCCCTGGACAGGAGTGGCTACGGTGTCGGAAGGCCCCGGGGCTGCGTTCGGCTTGGGACCAGCTACTGGTGGATGGTGGAAGCTGCGCGGGGCAGGCGACTGCCCTCAGGGTGAGAGCGCAGAGCCCACGCGCTCCCTGCCTCTCCCCAGCGCAGGACCCTGGGGGTGCGCCCCTTGGCGATCCAACGTTGTGGGGTGTGGAGCACATACACTGAGGGGAGCAGGGGTGCTCTGGGAGGAGTGGAGGCGTGGCCACTCCCCACCCCCCTTAACCCCCTCCCCCACGCCCCACGGAGCTGTTTTGCTCCAAGGACTAGGCTGGGTTTATATTTGGATCGGTGTTTGCTGGGGGCCCCTGCGGGTCGGCTAGGGAGTGGGTGGTGGAGCGCGTTATCACTAGACACCTGAGACTTAGAGCGGGAGCTGGAGCCGGGGGCTCTCCGACTCAAGGTGCCCAAAGAGGGAAGGACTCCAGGGCATGCGTGGGGTCACTCGCGTCTGGCTTCGGCAGCCCCCTCCGCGCCATCTTCCGCCCCTGCCTGCACTCCTTCCCCCGGGGCGGGGCGGCCTCCCCGCATCACAGAACTGCTCCCCGACTTGGGGTCAGCCATGGGGTCCCGCCAGAATTAGGCCGTTGGAACATGGACAGTCGGTCGGTCGTGCTCCTCATGGGTTCGAAGGACGACCCGGGAGGGTGTGTGATGGGGGTCGAGAGCCCGGCTCAGGGACACCTTACAGGTTCAGAGACGTTGAGGCTTTCGCGAGGAGGGGATGCCGGCGAGGACAAGGGTGTGGGCGCCCCAGGGGCGGGCCGGTGCGCAAGATGCTGAGATCCTCCAGATCTCCCCGCGCAGAGCAGCCAGTGGCCCCCGCGTTCCGCGTGTCCAGAGGACAGTCTGACTCCCCTGGCTGGGGGGATGGTCCCCGGGGGCAGGAAGGGGGCTCCCTAGGGCCCGTCGGGGCGGGAAAGGCCCGTCCGCAGCCGGCCTAACTGCCCGGTCTGCCCCGCAGGTCCAGGCGCAGCTGCAGCTGGAAGGCGTGGCGCACGCGCACCCGCACCTACACCCGCACCTGGCGGCGCACGCGCCCTACCTGATGTTCCCGCCGCCGCCCTTCGGGCTGCCCATCGCGTCGCTGGCCGAGTCCGCCTCGGCCGCCGCTGTAGTGGCCGCCGCGGCCAAAAGCAACAGCAAGAACTCCAGCATCGCCGACCTGCGGCTCAAGGCGCGTAAGCACGCCGAGGCCTTGGGGCTCTGACCCGTCACCAGCCCCGCGCCCAGCCCCGGCCCCACGACCCCGCCCGCGCTGCGTCCTGCACTCGACCCCTCCGCGCCCCCGGACGGCCGCACGGAAGCCCCGGAGCGAGGGCGCGGGCCCTCGCGCAGCGGCCTCCCTGCCTGGGGCAGCCCGGGGGCCCACCACTGGCCCGGGGCGGGGGCCTTCCGGGACCTCACGACCCCGCCAGACCCTCGCCGAGATTGTGCGGAAGAGAGCAGGTGAAGGTCAGAGCAGCCAACCCAGCCCCCGGCCGCGCGGTCTGTGCTTCCTGGGACGCTGAGCCCCGGGGAGCCCCGCGCGTCCTCCTCTGCTGCTGGCGCCCCTACCCTGTGCATGCGGCCTCCTACCCACCTTGGGAAGACCATCGAGTCGACTCCACGCAAAGATCTGGGGCTGGTCTCCGCGGAAGACGCCACTTTTTGGTTGCCAACAGTTCTACGCACTGCCACGAAGTTTTCATCCGTGGAGAGGAGGAGGGGAAGGACCGGTCTGGATCGCAACGTGGACTTGCGCCTGCCAGGCTAGGGACCCCGTGCTCTGCAGCAATAACGAAACGCGTCTGCCCACCGACCTCCTCGGGACAAGGTGGGGAGAGGGTGGGGGAGACGTGTATCTCCCATTGGTGTCCGTACTTGGGGGGACCTCCATTGCCGGTTTTCATGCGCACGGCTGGTCCCAGAGCACCGAGTGTAGGATTCCTTCTTGTGCCATAGACCAGGCGACTTTATAACTTTTCCAGTATTTGATTCCCGAATTGACTTTTTCCCCACCCTTGGGCTGTTTTACCGAATTCAGATGCAAATGACTCGCCTAGAGACGCAGGGGCACGTGGTTTTTAGGTATAATACTGAGGCAGCATTAACTTTAGTCAAATGCAATTAAGTGCAGTAAAAGTGCAATACTGTAAATGTTATAGATTTAAAAAAAAAATAGCCGTGCACTCTTGACCCTGTCAGCTTTGGAACTGCAAGGGCATTACCGCCTCCTGTGTGCTGCGGGCCTGGCGGCGGGGGGCCCATCGCCAAGATGACAGGGGGCGGATGGTGCAGGGCGCTGGGAATCTGGAGGAGGGGAGGTGTGCCGAGTGTGATAAAGCAGGATGGGGTGGGGGGAAGGCCAGGACGTGAGGCCCGCGGCAGAGCCGTTTCTGGGAAGAGAAGGGGCTGAGACAGGCCCTTAGGGCGGCAACTTTGGAGATCACGTTTTGTAGGGGTTAGTCTGTTCCAGGTTCGATGTCTTCCTTCTCCCGGCGTCCCTCCCTCCCTCTTTGCCCCATCCGAGGACTGAGAAAGCACCAAATAGCGAATTATTTTAGAAGCTGGTATGCGGTGGGAAGCGCGCTTGACAGGACAGAACCAAAGCATTAGGGTCCCCAGAGACGCACCTGCGTTGCGGACAATGTGCTTTGCACCTCGTGTGTGGGGTCTGGGGGGCAGTGCTGGTCGGGTCTGCCAGGAAGAGGAGGATAGGACGCCTGCGTTTTTGCCTTAGTCCCCGAGGCCCGCCCAGACGGAAGCCGCTTCCCCCATTGTTCCCACGGTTCCTCACGGGCCACCCCTGGCCCTTCCGGAACTCCCGTGGTTCACTCTGATTCCAGAAGAGGTTTTGATCCGTCCAGATCTGGCGATGGCGATTTTCTTTCCTTCTCCCTGAACTTTGGTCAATTTTTCTAAGAAAAAATAATTTTTTCTCCCCATCCACGTAAAGGAACATTTTCTACCTTTTCATGGAGCTGAACTGTGGGTGCATTTGGACAGGTCACATTGGGGTCATCTGAAACTCTTTATACAAACCAAAAGGCCCCTTCAGCTCCCCCCCCAGACATTAATGCGTTACACAGTTACCCTCATACATGCAGTTTTTAAACAGCTGTGAATTAAACCAACAAACAAAAAAAGTTCCTATAAATAAGCTGGAAATTTCCTTTAAATGCAAACAGTGCATTTCGAATCCTTTAAAACTAGTGGCACTCGTCCTAAAATTGAACATTTGGCAAAGTCTTGCAAGTAGAATGTGTACATCCCTATTTTTTTTTCTTTCCAAAAAGCTTATAATCATTAAAAAAAAAAAAAAATCTAAACAGAATCCTCATTACCTCTCCGTCCCCAACAGAAAACTCACAGTGTGTGAGCAGAAAGACACGGGGTCGGATCCCTGCAGAATTTGAAGTTAGAAGATAGGGCTGCACACCCTTGCCCTACGGGAGGCTGGTGAAATGAGGCCTGTCGGATGGGGGGCCCTTAGTGCTTGTTTTCGCCTTTTTTTTTTTTTTTTTGGTTTGTTTTCTTTTTTGTGATTTAACATGGAAAGTGAGCCAGGTATAACCCCTCCCAATGGGACTCCCCCAAAACAGAGCCAACCCAGAGAACCGCATGGGCGACATTTACGGTGGAGGCTGGCAGGCCTCATGGGTTTGGAACAGAGTAGGGGAGATGGTCGGTCAGCGTGGCCCGTGGCCCGTGGCTCCCGCCTCCTTTTTGTCCCAGAAAGTCCAAGAGCTGCAGATGGGATTATCGGTTGAGTTGCGGGTCCACTTTTCACGGGCCGGGTCTGTGTCCCACTTCCTTGTGCGCTGCAGAGGACGCCTGGAATGGGATGTGTGTGGGTTCCCGTCCACCCGGTCATCATCACCCCGGACCCAGGATATCGTGCTCACCCGAGTGCCTGCGTGGGGTGTGGGACGGACACGTTTCACCTGTAGGGTGTACTCAATTAAATGCACGAAGCGGACGCCTTTGAGCTGTGCTCCGTGCTTTTTGCTCAGACCAAGACCCCTTTGAAAGTCGTGCGTGTGACTTCCGCTGAGGGTGTGGGCCGGGCGTGTTTGCGGAGCTGCACCACCGAGCAAGCGTGTCTGGGAGGGTTGCCTTTTCACACCTCCGGATGCAAGAGTGTTGGCTTGTCAAAGCTCCGTGAGGGCTGTCTTGGGCGCCCAAACATGCCGGTCGCGCTGTGGGATGGTTTTCGCAGGACGGACCCTGGAATTCTATTTGCAAGGATGGGGTGGGCCCCGAAAGCTTTCTCCTCTTTTCCTTTTGCTTTTCCTTTTTCCTTTTCCCTTTCCTTTCCTTTTCTTTTCTTTCCTCCCAAAACCTTGGCCAAAGAGTACTTTTAGGATGGAAATTGCCTGGGTTTGGCAACACGGAGTTCCAGTGAGATTTTGCCGTTCCTTTCGACCTTTCTTACGGATTCAAGTTTCCCTTCCGTCCGTGGTGTGTTGTGCAGGAGAGAGACAGACCACGTCCTGGGGAAGGTTTTGGAGTCTCGGGATGTCGTGCGTTGGGTATGTTTTCCTATGTGAAGGTTGTGACGTGCGTGTTCTCGGACCAGGTCTGCCATCCAGAATTGCTAGGAGTCAGGGGGACGATGCCCTCGTTTTGTTGGCCGGATGGGGACTCTGTGCATTGTGGCTTTTTCATGATCCCTGCACTAAAGGCCATGCCGACGGGTTTCCATACCGTTCCCAGGACCAGCGAGCAGATCCAGAACTTACTTGCTAAGCTGTAACCACCTGAGTGGGTAAGCATCCTGCGCAAGGGTGGTGGGCCTTCTGACCCTCAGGTGCTCCCCCTGCTCCAGCCATGCCGGTGGACGGAAGGTCCCCCGCACCTCGCTCCAGGCCAAGCTGCACCCCATGGCGGCCCCCTCTCCGGGCAAGCCCTAGTTTCAGGGGTCACAATGGGAAGAAGATGTCAGCGTCCTCTGCTCCCACCCCAGGCTTCCAATCTCATATTTCAATGTTTCTCCACGTCCAAGCAGAGACCCCCTTTTCCTGGGAGTTTCCACGGGGGTGCTGACCACAACGACAGAAATGTCTCGAGGCACTTTGCTCCTTCTTCACGTTTGTTCGGGGAGGCCGGGGCCGGGGGTGGGGGGTGGGGAGGGCTTCTCAGTCGACAGCTTGGACATTGGAAAAACTGGTGCCTAATTTATTAAAAAAAAAAAAAAGGTAGCTTAGGAATATGCTGATTTTTCAATACACGTGAAAACTTGATGCAATTTATAAATGTTTTATTGAAATTTGATATTTAATGAGAACGCAGATAAGGAATGTAGAAAATATCCAGTCTGAAAGCGGTGACGCGTGCTATTTATTGAAAGGTAGTAGTCGGACGGCCAAGGCCCCGTTGTGTGCAGAGGTCCCATCGCAGAGAGGCAAGGTTCTCTGCTTCCTGATACTGGATGTATGTGGGTGTGTTATTTATTTTTTCTTTGGGTTGAAAGTTCATAAATATGTGATATTTTAATTATGTTGAGTGTAAATTTGACATTACCTTGCATTTATTTTTATATTTTTAAAGCCTGTTGCTTTTCTCACCCCCCACCCTTTCCTCCCCAAATTTATGAGCAGCCAGAATGATTTACGGCACGGCAGAAGTGTTTGGGTTATGCATACGGGGTGGGTCTGGACCTACAGACGTTTTCAGGGATTGCTCACACGACACGAAATAACACAGGCTTTCCCAAACCGAACGGTCTTCAAAACCCTTATCCCTCTGCTGTAGCGGGGAAAACACACACACACACACACAAAACAAAAAAACAAAACATTCTGGAGGGTGTTTGTTTTTAGTTTTTGGGGTTTTTTTGGGGGGGGAGCCATATGCTTGCAGATTCTTAACACGATATGCCCTCGTGTTTAGTTCTAGTGACAAAGTGTATTTTGTCAACCCCTATAGTATGAATGTACATCTTGTAAAACGGAGATATAAATAAACTTATAAATATTTGTATTCCAGTGTTAAAAAACATTCTCACCTCTCCCCCGAGGGGCCCGCCTGGAACACGCGGGGAGCGAGCGGCGGCTGAAAACAGGGTGGGTTTTGCGTCCTCACCAAAGTACGTGTGTGTGTCCCCGGCTGGCGTCGGGGGCCGCTTCTGGGGGCTTCTGCCTTCTGCTGCTGTAACCACCCCCTTGCTGGCGTGTCGCTTATTATGGCGTGTTACCCATCTCGGTCCACATCATCTCCGAGAGTGGG